ACAATACAGAGTTGCAGAGACTTGTGAAGAAACACGGTGTCAATCATTATTCGACTTATTCAGTAATGAAGGCATCTGTTGTGGAGCGATTCAACCGTACGTTAAAGAACAACATGTGGAAAATGTTTACGTTCAACGGAACTTACAAATGGATCGACTCGTTACTGCGTTTCGTCGCTGAATACAACACGCGAAAACATCGAACTATCGGCATGCGTCCTATCGATGTGACTCCTACGATTGCTAATAAGCTCTTAAACACAGTCTATAGTAACATAAAGATTGCAACGCCTGCGAAATTCAAAGTGGGTGATCTGGTACGTGTCAGCAAATTCAAAACTATCTTTGAAAAAGGCTATACACCGAATTGGATAACCGAAGTGTTTAAAATCGTCAAAGTGCAGACGACTAATCCTGCAACTTACCTACTCGCAGACTCGCGCGGGAAACCTATCGCCGGGGGTTTCTACGAACACGAACTACATAGTGTCACCAATTCAGATGTATACTTAGTAGAAAAGGTGTTGCGCAGGCAAGGTGACAAAGTATATGTAAAATGGTTGGGATTCGACAATTCGCATAATTCATGGATACAAAAGGATAATGTATTGTAAAAAATGAATATAGTTTTGTTAGAACATTTCATGACATATTTAATTGTAAAATAGCTAATAAAACAAATAAATGTTATAATAGTATACTATAATGTCCCCATGGTAATGTATTTATCGAATCAGGCATAATAAATCGCTTATCATCGTATGGACTGAGAGCAGTTTTCGTTTCGAATACCGTGTATACCTCATGTAACTTGGATCTTATGTACGATTGACACCGACTCGTTTCAATTTCCTCTCTCAAACAATGCGTGTAATCGTCAAAATTGATCGTTCGTGCTATAATATTCCTCTTAACATCCTTCGCCCTTTTAGTATCCTTTTTATCTTCTACTTTCAGCGCATACATTTTTGCTCTGAGCCCGACGAATTCTGTCATTATAGCTCCGTTATTTTCGTCTTTCATAAGCCCTGGAAATTTTTTGTTCTTAAGCGGTATACTGTATATGTTATTTTGAGGATAATCGCTCGTATCAAACCTAGCAATGTCACGTTTCATTAACTCATATACATCGTCGGACATTACATGGTAAATTAAACTATCTGTGTCCGTATACAGTACTTTACATTTCTCGCGATATAAAGGTGACATGTACTCATGATGAAATTCATACAAGCAGGTCTTAGATATGTCGAGAATACACATACCCACATAAATCGGCTTGTTGAACTTCACTTCGAGTTTTCGTAATTCAACTACAACCAAATTTTCTGAAAAGATGCTCCTGCTATGAAAATTGGGCATTGCGACCATTGCCTCTGCACCGTATCGTCCATCCCATTTTGTCAAAAGTTTTACATCGACATGATTGCGAACATTTTCTATTGTTTTGCCGAATACCGCGTTGTTCATCAATTTGTCTAAATTTTTCTCAAAATCGTTTGTTGCATGCGTTCGAAACTGCGTATTTAATTCTATGTAGTTGCGTAGCCATGAAGTTTGTGTGAATTGGAGTATGCGATGAATCTTTTCGATACGAAGACCATGGCGTATGCACTGCTGCAGATTACGATAATGAATAACATAACACTGCTTATTATATAAAGTCGCAAGGAGTTTTTCTTGCCGTTTGTTCGGGGGCTTCGTTCGCGTCGGACAGAACGGTAGATCTGCATGTGCATCATGCAAGTGTTGAGGATACTCCAAATCAACCTCGAGAATATAACCTGTGAGCGAATTTAGCGGGATTGATGATACATAAAAATTCGACGTATCATCAACCTACTTAAATTCAGCGTATGGTAACGGTTGACACATTGCCCAGCCATACAAATTATTTATATCAAAGTACATGAGGTATGAGGATGGCTTCGATGGATCGTAAGATTGCATGTATTGGTTATTGGCTTTTGCGTATCTACCGGAACACTGACTCAGACCGCCACGTATACCGCGTTCGATAAACATTACCATATCAATATCTGTGAGTAATTCAAAATTAATTTTTGTATGTTTTAACATCGCATCCCACGTGAAACCTGGCAATGTGAAATAATGCGCGGGGTCTAGACCGTAACTTTTGATACAACTATCGAGGAAATTTTCGAAAATATCAGCCAATAACAAAACATCAGTCTTCAGGTACAAATCGCTATATTCGCCTAAGGTTTGAACAGAAAACCGTTCCCATACGTTCACGGCGTGCATGTAATCGCTCTCAGATACTGTATCACCTGTCAGCGAACTGTAGAATGACTCGCGCGGTGGTAAACATTGATCCTGCAGCTTGTCATTGCAATCCACATATTCGTACGGAAAGACACCTTATCGCGTTAATAAATCAAAATCTTTGTCGGATAAGTTTTTAAATTCGGACTGAAGAATTTTTAATGTGTCTCCAGTGAGATACGATGCTAATTTATCGAGACTGGTGCTGAGAAATTTGTACGAATCGATGAACCGCAATTTAATATGATTTCGCCAGTCTGATGTTTTACTTGTTGTATCTTCAATATGTTTGGTAAATGAAATATATTTTTCTTTCGTTATTGGTAGTACATCGACGTGATCTTCGAACGCGGTGGCTACTTCCTTGATAATAAAATAAGCGTCATAACCTGATAAGTTATGAAAAACTATCGGAATATAATAGGAATCTGTATAATTTAAATTACAATTGGAATGTGCCGGACCCCTGTATTGTCCGGTTAAATGACAGTGATCGCGTACTCGTATATCCCCCACTACGAATAATTTTTCGCATATATGACAACGCGTTGCACTATAAAATGCTGCGCACTGTTCTTGTGATAAAATTTCCATATGGACATTATTACGCAAAATAATTTTTATACGATACGCCAATTGTTTAAGTTCCTCGACGAACCACGAAATGCAATTCGGATCGCGACGACACTGATATGCGGATAATGATTCATCGTAGGAACATCGTATATAATAAGCTATACTATGTACTTTATAATGCTGATACACATACGATTTTTTTTCTTCGTTTAGCGTTTTCTCTAGAATGCATTCCAGGTCAGCGTACACCACGAATGGAATCCGTTCCCTTCTGCTGTAATTAGTAAAACTGAGCCACTTGTTGGCCTCTGTTGGCAGGATGACTGCACAGTCATTCAACTTGTTGCAATCTATGATATGATTCTCCAGTTTTTCGTTGGAATAAAAATAATGCAAGCAACTGAAAAGAAATGGATATTACGAGTTATTCTTTTATTTCATATTTGTTATATTGTATTTATGGTGAATATCTCTTTACCGATCGCATATACTTCTTGCATTTTTTCTTACTTAGTTGCATGTCCACAAGACGTGACAAGTTCTTGATCCACACGAAATGTCCCATGTTGCACTCTTGTGGATCTTGCACATATAACAAATTTACATGCTTTTCCTTCTTACTGACGAGACGTATCGGAACGATCGTACATGCTTCTTCTTGCTTCTTTTTATCTTGAATGGTGTATACGTTGATGGATATGTTGTTTAGCTGTTCAAACTTGGTAATTTGTTTAATTTTTATATTGGGTAATTGGAAACTCAATATCCTGAAGATTGAATATTTTGGTGTAACGTGGGTACGAAGATTCCCGGTCTCCATGTCTTGCAGCTGGATATAATGCCGCGACCACGGACCATGCAAAACATGCGTTGTCTTTAGTTCGTACGTTTATCACGGCTTTCTTTAATTTTATTTCGCGAGGCAACTCAATGTTGCACCCTGCATGCAGTGGATTGTATTTGTTCACATTGACTGTGAGATCAAATATGCGCAGCAGTGCCCACTCACTATCACGTTCTTGAAATTCTTCCAAAGATGCCAAAGTAGGCTCGATGACGCGTTGCTCGTACCATTTATCCAAATCTAAAGCAGAAAAGAGTTCACTGTTTCTCGTGTTAATGCTTTTGAATGCATGATTGTCGCCTGCGATAAACTCGCCATTGAACACAGTGTTCACCTTAAGATTGCCGTGCTTTTCCATAGCACTTCGCACGTGCTCGAGCACTGTACTCTTCGCATCTTGGAGAAATCGAAGAGGTTCGATATGGTTCACGTTAATAACTGCACCGGTTGATATGCGGCTTCCGAACGCTATATCAATTTCTCTCCGTACCAATTCTACATCTCTTGATGCGTGTCCAGCACCCACGTGTATGAAGCGTTCTTGCACAGAAATTTTCAGTCCCTCGAGTCGTGCAATCCGAGCCACCATTGATTGCGTGGCGCCAATCGACAATCGCGGTCGTTTTGCTCGACTTTGTTCTTCCAAACATCTGATATACTTATCAAACTTTTGCACCCACGCGTCGTAAGTCTCTCGCGAATTCAGACGAGTGGATTGCTCCAACAGTTCTCGTTCGGTTTGAGTGAAGTCTTCCATTTCTTTATTAACTACAGAGAATACTCGGCTCTTTGGAATCCTTTACTTTATATTCTCTCCGTTAGAAAACACGTTCGGATATGCGCGAGTCAAATGACGACCGTGAAAGAAGGAGGGAATACTAGGCGATGGGACCTGCTTCTTATTTCGTACCGAAGAGAGAAAAAATATCGCGTAAGCACGGTAGTCGCTAGACCGGGAATTGAACTCGGGTCTCTCGCTTGCAGGGCGACTGCTCTAAACCCACTGAGCTACCTGACGCTCCATGGTCAAGACACTCTCCTCTCCCCTGATATCGTTAAAAGATGTCGTTCGGAAGCGACATCTCTAATGCCATCCCGAGTCTAAACCAAAGATATCTACATCTCATTTACTTTCCTGTTTTGAGGAATATATCTGCGCATGCGCTGCAACTCTGAAGAGTAAGAGGAGGGGATGCCCAATAGTAGCTTTAATATTAGGCTTCGGAAAAAAACCTCTGTCTCTCAGTCGCTCTGTGAACACGAGATTCATCGGTTATGTGTCTACGTAGTAAAGTTTGGGTGTGTCTACATAATAAAAATGTATGCTGCCGGTGCTGAAGTGAACGCTAAACACGCAAATTATTACATGCCTGCTCAACATGAGGACGAGGCTCCACCGAGCAAGAAAATGTGCGAAAGGTGAGTGTTATAATGCTATTTCTTTTAGTTTATCCGTAATAATTTTTCCAAGATTCAGACATGTAAATTTTCTATGTCTTTTCAGCGTTCCACGACCTCCTGCTATGCATATCTTAGGACGCCGATACGCTTTGACTGCAACTGCTTATAAATATTTGAATATCGGAATCAGCATAGGAGCTGAACCCGTCATAGACATAGTCATTGATGATAATCGTGGCAAACAACTGCTATTGCCGATCAAAACTTGGAATGCGCTAATGGGGCAACGTGCTGACATCCAAAGATTTCTGCAGGCCAATTTTTTATAAGTCATCGTCTCCCCCGATGCGTATAGAAGAATTAACAATAACGTCATGTAAGATGTACAACTCACAAATTGTGAAACTCACAATTTTTAATAATTGCTTATATGTAACACCAAATACGTCAAATGTATTATTTATATTTGAAAATTGCATCAATCACATGTATGGATGGTTATCAGAAAATATCTGTATACTTAGTGTAAAATTCAAAAGTTTTGTAAATATTCTTCGTGAAAAGAAGAATTATATTACTAATATACATACTGCAACAAAAACAATACAAGAAAGCGACTTTGACCGCGAGTCGCTCATTGATTGTGAATTGTTAGCATGTGCTGTAAAAAATATAATGTATGAAGCCGTGAACAAATAAATGATATTCTGGAAAACATAAAATTATGTATAAATTAATTCTATATGTCTCCTATTTTACTTCCCTTCCCCTTCCTCAGAACGATAAGGATAGTGCCCGGCGCAAGTCGGCATGGTAAAATACTCTTTCGACGAACATTTCGTATTCCCTTCCTATGATGGTCTAAGTGGTAGGACCATCGCACGGTAAACGAAGGGTCCGGGGTCCGAGTCTGGCCTAGTTTCGACTTTGTTTTTCTTTTGACGCATGCGTGACGTCATCATACACACTGTAAGAACATTCACTAGGCGCCTACTAGCAACAGGCAGCAATAGTCTAGGAGGTTTGAGCGTCCGATAGCAACCCGCGGGGCCCAGGTTCGAGTCTACCTACAGCCCGACGCGTTTTTCTCGTGATGTGACGGCTGCCATCTTGCTCATAGAATCAAAAATTCTGGGGTGGAGGAGAAGGGTACCAATAAAGAGGGGGATATCAATTAAGAGGGGATATCAATAAAGAGGGGGGATCAATAAAGAGGGGGTATCAATAAAGAGAGTGTATCAATTAAGAGGAGGGATCAATTAAGAAAGGGGATAATTAAGATGGGGGATCAATTAAGAGGGGGGAATCAATTAATACAGAGTATCAATAAAGGGGGGCAATAATTAAAAAATGATAATTAATAAATAATGTCTTTTGCATAATTAATTAGCAATTTGGTTTAGAATCCACCTAGTCTATCTACTCACTCCCTACCTTTTATTACCCATTCTTGTAGCGGATCACGAGAGCTTCCCAAAACACTATAATCTAATGTTTTTTGGTGAAGTACTTTTCGAATTATAAAGCTCCAAATTTACAAAATTTTGAAGAAATACAAAATACACTCAAACGCAAAAAACCCGGTACACTAAAAATTTGGGAAAAAATTACAAAATTTCAAATGATCATAACTTGGTAAATAATGAAGATACAAATATGCGCAGAAATGCAAAATGAAGCTTGAAATGTCCTCTTTAAGAATATCTGAATGGCAATTATCTGAATGGCAAAATCTGAATGGCTCGGCCATTTTTTTCACAATGGCGGATGATAAAGTGAGAGGATGCAAAATTGATAATCAAAGGTCCGTGTTTGCGATGGTGCATGGTGTGCATCAGGTATCGCAGCGTAATGGGACCAAATGCACATGAAAGTATAGAGTGTTATCTTTAAAATGCTACTTTACCAAGCTCGATGTGATCATTTTTCACTGAGTTGTTCCAAATTTTGCTAAAAATGCGGTTTTCTTGTTAAATTTGCATATTTCAGTGAATAAGTATCGCATCGCTCTATAACGAAGTATTTTAAAGAAAACATTCTATACTTTTAGGTACTTTTCGTCCCATTGAGCTGCGACACTTACTTTGCTCCATGCGCCGTCGCACGCTCGAACCTTCTTTTAGCAACTTTTCATGTTCTCCTTTTTATCACCCGCCATTTTGAAAAAATATCGTTGCGCACAATTTCGATAGATCTTTCGAAAAGTACGGTTTCAAAGCTTTCAAACCGTTTTTGAAATTTGCTGCTAGGATATTTAGATGTCGAGATATTCAATTTCGAATTTGCAACAAATGTCGATTCAGCGAGGCTTAAGGGGCTAAGAGGTTCTGCGGTTCGTTTAGCTCTTTCATAATTTCAATAGCTGTGTTCATGTTTCTCTATATAATAATTTACATAACCTGCACAATATATTCAATGATTTGCATTTATTATTTTGAAAGCCAGGGAAATGAAAGTAAAATTCAATTTAGGTTCTTCATTTTGCGTAATCGATATTACGCAATAAAGATGAATTGCGTTTTAAGATACCGCTGCCATTAGCTCAAATTATGGTTGTAAGTCTTCCCAATATAAACCGCATGGAGTTTTACTGGTAGGAAAAGTCCCATTGTATGTGTGTGTGTGTGTGTGTGTGTGTGTGTTTGTATACCACAAGGATAAGGACCACGTGGTTCGTCAGCTCCACAGTATTTCAAGATTTCACACCCTCCTTGTGGGGTGTGTGTGTGTGTGTATGTGTGTGTGTGTGTGTGTGGTGTTACAGCAGAGATAAGGACCCCGCAGTTCGTCACTCCTGCAGTAATTAATGACTCCAAACCCTCTCTGCTGTGTGTGTGGTGTGTGTGTACTAATAGTGGATATGACTGCCTCGTGCGCGTATTACCTCATTCATACGATCAGGCATACTCCTTATGAATCTTTTAATTTCATCCTGCGAATTGTATTCCATTCGTTTTCGAGAATTATTCGCAGTTCTCGCAGTGACTGAGGAGCAGGTACGTGATTTCGTACTTTCCTGCCGAGGTTGTCCCATAAGTGTTCGATTGGATTTAAATCTGGACTATTTGCTGGCCAATCGAGTCGATTTATGCCAACTTCATCGAAGAAATCAAGCACTCTTCTCGCAGTGTGTGGTCGAGCATTGTCTTGCATAAACAAGAAGTTCTCTCCGATGAAGGGTGCGTACGGAACAACATACGGAATGAGTATGTCTTCCACGTATACATCTGCGTTCACATTCTTGTCAAAAAAGTGCAGATCTGTATGAGCATTAGCTGAAATTCCTGCCCAAATCATTACAGAGCCTCCATTGTAGCTATGCCTCTCACTTACCGTACAGTCTGCAAATCGTTCTCCACCGCGACGATAAACTCGTTCTCGTCCATCTGGAGAATAGACACAAAAACGAGATTCATCGCTAAAGAGTACTTTGCTCCAGTCTGCGTAAGTCCAGTCTCTATGCTCAACTGCAAAATTGAGTCGAGCTACGCGATGGTGACATTTAAGCAAAGGTACAGCTGCTGGCCTGCGCGAAAGCAGATTTTGTTCCTTTAATCTTCTCCGAACGATGTTAACGGATACATTAATGTTGCGGACATCCCTTAAATTGTTTCTAATTTGAACAGATGTTCGATGTCTGTCTCTTAACGAATTTGAAACAATAAATCGGTCATCATTGTGATTGGTACATCGAGGACGTCCCGAACCAGGCCTTCTATGGAAAGAATTGGTTTGTAAGTATCTGGCATAAGCACGTTGCACAGTTGACACTGACAAATCAAGTGCCTGAGCAACGTACCTTCGACTTCTGCCATCTTCAATTAAAGCAATAACTTGAGCAGCCTTTTCAGGATTTATCGTCGCCATAATCGACGCAATAATTTCGATGCGAAACAATCAATTATGGTTTAAATTGATGAAGTTGCACGAAGCAACGCGCCTCGAAAAGAAAAGATCACGGAAAAAGAAAAGTCGCACGAGGCAGCGCTTATCGGAGTGAACACGTTCGGAAAAGGAAAATTGTTTGTCTTTGTTTATTGTCTTGGCACATACATTTAAGAAAAATCCAGTCAAGCCAGGCGTTAAAGCCCGGCGCACCGACAGAATCTCAGTCAAGCCAGAACGTAAGCCTGGCGTACTGACAAACTCGCGAAGTCCAGCGTACAAGAGATAGTGCCACTATCGGCAGTGGACCGTACGAAGGCCAAAAGCTGTACGAAGGCAATCTCTGATCGTCTCCGCGGGTACTCTTATATGCCCCGGGCAGCTCGAACTCGCGTGCGAGCCGAGGGGCTCGCGCGCGCGACAACCCAGATCGCCGCTTCGCGCCGGCTCCGTGGACTAGGAGCGCCAGGGAATTTCGACGTTCAGGTGGAGTCCAGCGACTCGGCATCCCGCGCGCCAGGTCACCGCGAACTCAGACGCGATCCTGAACAGCATATTCAAGCTGTATACCATAATGGCCAATCGTACGGAGAAGGTAGAGAGCTAGGGACAGTTTCGCGAACTAAAGTGTATACCACAGTGATCATGCGTAACTGAAGGGTAAAGAATGATAACTTTTGATAAAAATTAAATTTCCAATTCGCAAAATTGTGTAAATTATTATATAGAGAATAATGAACGTTGCTATTGAAATTATGAAAGAGCTAAACGAACCGCAGAACCTCTTAGCCCCTTTAGCCTCGCTGAATCGACATTTATTGCAAATTCGAAATTGAATATCTCGACATCTAAATATCCTAGCAGCAAATTTCAAAAACGGTTTGAAAGCTTTGAAACCGTACTTTTCGAAAGATCTATCGAAATTGTGCGCAACGATATTTTTTCAAAATGGCGGGTGATAAAAAGGAGAACATGAAAAGTTGCTAAAAGAAGGTTCGAGCGTGCGACGGCGCATGGAGCAAAGTAAGTGTCGCAGCTCAATGGGACGAAAAGTACCTAAAAGTATAGAATGTTTTCTTTAAAATACTTCGTCGTAGAGCTTGATGCGATACTTATTCACTGAATTATGCAAATTTAACAAGAAAACCGCATTTTTAGCAAAATTTGGAACAACTCAGTGAAAAATGATCACATCGAGCTCGGTAAAGTAGCATTTTAAAGATAACACTCTATACTTTCATGTGCATTTGGTCCCATTACGCTGCGATACCTGATGCACACCATGCACCATCGCAAACACGGACCTTTGATTATCAATTTTGCATCCTCTCACTTTATCATCCGCCATTGTGAAAAAAATGGCCGAGCCATTCAGATTTTGCCATTCAGATAATTGCCATTCAGATATTCTTAAAGAGGACATTTCAAGCTTCATTTTGCATTT